CTTTTAACTCCTTATCATTCTACTTTGAGCCCCTGTGGTCTAGAGGCAGCGTCATCCCTGGAATCAAAGACTCTCCTTCGCGCTTACAACCTCTTCTCTCTCCTATTCTTGTACCACTCCCACTCTTCTCTTTTCCCTAGCTTTGATTATGCACTTGGGGGTTTTGATGGCTGCTTTCTCTGACCTCCCTGCCCCAGCCCTGACCGCTCTTCTGACCTGGGGGGCTACAGGAGAGAGAACAACAGGGGCTGAGGGTGACAGCAGCAAATTCAAGGTCATGCTGGAAGTTATGTCAAATTTAAATGGCAAAGACTTTATATCCATTCTCCCCAAGGAAATTGGGGTAGGCAAGATATAGATACGGTAGATATAGATAAATCTTTTCATTTTTGTCAGGATCCCTTGTAGTTTTGTATCTAGTTTATTGTGTAACAATTTATCTTTGAAACATAAAAAAAATAATGATAGCTATATTTATGAGTACTTACTGTGCGCCAGGCACTGTTCTCATTGTTTAACATGTATTTATTCATTTAATTCTCAAAATTCTCTAAATTAGATACCGTGATTATCCTCATTTTACAACTGAGAAAATTGAGGCATAGAGAAGTTAAACAAATTGCCTGAAGACCATTGTTAGTAGTGCTACAATCCATTCTCCAAACAATAGGCAAGACTTAACCTCGCTTTAAAATAGACTGTTATATGTGTTTGGGTGACTAAGGGCAGGGACATCCACAGAGGGCAGATCCAGGCCGTTATGATGGAGCCCAGAGTCGTTGTGTAATCTACTTTGTTTCTATAACAGCCTCTGCTATTCCTCTAGGAAAATTCACTGGCAACAGCGATCCTTCCAGTGTTTCTTCTTTAGAGTCGGTTATGTCAGAACATGCCAGTTTCATGGGTTGCCTGTCTGGTTTTACACTTAGCAGGGGAAGCACACATGTTATTCCTACTTCGCCGCTGGCTAGGCGCCCATGGCTCCAGATTGAACTGGGCTTCTTAGAAGAATTAAGCCAATGCTTGATAGCCCCGTCATAATATGGCCACTAGCTGACCACAGACTTGGGCAGTGGATGGGGCCAGTTGGCTGCTACTTCTGGTGGATGCAGCTTTTGACCAGGCGCTATAATGGAATGATTTTAGGTCTCAGGCAGGTCTGTTGTGTTAGACTTGAAAGAGGTCCAGTACCCATGTCTTTTCAATGCTTAGAATTAGTAACTGTAATGTCTCTTTAAATCTATGAGCATATCTCAGAATGGCAACCTCATTTCTCCCCATCCCGTGCTTGGTAGAAGGAGATGAGAAACTGTGAGGATGGCAGGTCTGATTCACTACTTTGTGGCAGAGAGCAGATGCCTAAGCCATGCACACCCCAGGCCCTGTCCAGGAAGGCACCCTCCACTGCCCTATTGGCTGCAGTGTTCTTCCAGCATCCTCTGTTGATCCTCAAGTGCCCCTGTGGGAGGAACACACTGGATTACATCTTTCATTGAGCAACATCTCCTGGAAAGTACATTATCTTGATGATGGTAGACAATCTTTTGAAGACGGCACATTTTAATCCTTGAAAGGGCTTCCTCATTTGTACCAGTCACTGACAATCTGTTCATCAAAAAGATCATCCCCCATCAGGCATTTAAAGACACATGATCTTGACTGACACGGAACATGTCTCCTGGATTTAGGAAGCGATGTTAAAATCTGCCTGTCCACTCCCTCCTTGATCAAATGGAATGGATAGCCTAGGATGCTACCTCACAATAACCCCTGCCAACTCATCTACCTGCCTCACCACTGAGGAATTTACCCCAAACATGCTTCACTCCTCCACCAGGAACACTCCATTCCAGAGCAATCATGGCTCTCAGCCCCTTACATCTCTGACCTCACCGACATTCCACTGGTCAATCAGGTTCTGAACAAACTACAGATCTCTCAGCTAAGATATCCTCTAGTGAATCAATGACAGAGTGGTCACTGGTTGGCCCAGAGCCCTGACAAGCCCTGATGAAAGGACACCTCTAGTAACTTTTCTTTATAAAAGTACTACCTTCCCGAGCCAGAAGCTGATATCTAAGGCAATGTAAGGTATATTAGCTTGCTAGGGTTGCCGGAACAAAATACCACAGATTGTGTAGCTTAAATAATAGAAATTTATTTTCTCACAGTTACGGGGCTCGGAAGTCCAAGATTAAGGTGTCAGCAGGTTTGGTTTTCTCTGAACCCTCTGTTCTTGGCTGACTTCTTGCTGTGTCCTCACATGGTCTTCCCTCTGTGCATACACATCCCTGGTGTCTCTCTGTGTGTCCAAACTTCCTCTTCTTATAAGGATACCAGTCAGATTGAATTAAGGACCATCCTTAATGGCCTCCTTTTGACTTAAGCACCTCTTTAAGGGCCCTACCGCCAAGTACAGTCACATTCATAGGTACTGAGGGTTAGGACTTCAACATACGTATTTTGGGGGAACATGATTCAGCCCATAAGACAGAGTAATCAATCAAATGGCTTTTTGACTATTCTGATTACCCACTTCTCTGTGAATCAATCCTGTCATCTACAATGATTGACCAAATTAACCCAGCGAGATCTTACCCTCTAATCTGTGTCTTATTGACATTTTCTGCAGTCTCAGGATAGGTACCTGAAGCCTCCTTGTTGGATACATAAACATATTACAACCAGGTCCCAAACACCCAATAAAAAGAGTACCAAACTGGGAACTTCCCTGGTGGTCCAGTGGTTAGGACTATGGGCTTCCACTGCAGGGGCCACAGGTTCAATCCCTGGTTGGGGAACTGAGATCCCTGGTCCGGGAACTGAGATCCCACATGCTGCACAGTGCGGCAGGAAAAAAAAAAAGTACCAATCTGGTACAGGACCCCACCTCCTACCTGAAAAGAAATAAAGCCTCTGCTTTGTGACCTCAGGGAATCTTGGACTTTTTCAGCTTGTAGGAAGAAATTTGGTAAGAAGCCTGATCTGGTCATCCACACCCAACAGGGAAAGCACTCCTTTTCAACCCTGTAAGGATTATCATTTAATTGGCCTGGATTGGAGCTCAGGCACTGTTTATAATTTCCCATGGGTCACTTGCATCTCTGCACATTTTGCACACAGAGCTTGTGTTCTGGACTGTTTTTTTCAAGGATGTTTCTATAGTGAACAGCTTTGGGCAGATAGAGATAGTGGCTGCCCCAGGGCAGATGGCGGGTTTGTGTGCTTCCTCTGGGGTACAAAGGCTGGGCAGATTTGCTTGTAACCTATTATAAAAGATTGAGGTTTCCTAAGCTCAGGGTTCCTCAGTTGTGACCTAGCCCACTGCCTGCACATCTTCCACCTGGATTATTCCACACTGCTTCCTTGGTATTTGCAGGCTGGACACATTGGTGCAAACATGAAGCTCATGTCTCTGACCCTGGAGTCTCTTGTCTTCTGCCAGCGTCCCTGAAACTGTGACAAGCCATCAGCATTTTAAAAGGTCACCAGGCGATTCTCAAGAGAATCACTGTCTTCAAGAAATCACTACTGATTCTGCTTCCTGTTTGATTGCTTTCCTGAGTCTTCTTTCACTGTCTTGCTTAATCTTCCCAGTAATTCTCCACTTAGGTTCCAGTTCCTGGTTCTCTGCCCCTGTGATGGCTTCAGACCGTCCCTTGTTTCTGAAGCCTGTTTTTACACAAGCGGTCCTTGGTTCCTCTTTGTTCCATGCTTCAGAGCCACACGCCATTCTCGCTCCGTATCCAGTCCCACTCTGCAGAACTGTGGCTCTGGTCTCCTTCTGTCCCCTAAAGTGGGGAAGGCAGTTGGACTCCAAGGATCAAGGGCAAAGGATCAAGTTGTTGAACAACAGAGTCAGGAACTCAGGGCAAAGAGTCTGAGCAAAGAGAGATTAGGATCTCAGTAAAAAGAGAAAAAGGGAGCATTTTATTGAAGCATGCGTTCTAAGATTCTCACAACTCATATCTAACACTGATGAGTATATTTAGAAACACAAAATAAAGATGTTTTTATTCTCATCAGCTTGGCATCTCATTAGCCTCTACAGGTTCTCAGTTATAGTCAGATATATTTCCCAATTTATAATTGCTTATCTTGCTATTCCTATTTCTATGTACTACCGTGTTTTCATTCATAAATATGAGGCTGTAGCATGTTCCAAGGACTCTGATGGGAAATAAGGAGGAAAGAGTGCATTAAACATCATCCCAGACCTTATAAAGTATCCAGTTAATTGACAAAGATAGGCTCATAAATGGAGAAATTATAATATGTCATGGCAGTACAGTAGACATATAAGAACAAAGCATTCCAGATGTCATTCTCATTTGTGACAACTATTATTTGTTTATTTTAAAGTTGCCTGGAGGAAATCAGGTGAACACTTTTCTGTAGGGAACAAGACCTGTGTAGGGATAAGTGCAATATGTTAGCAGTTTAAGATCATTTAGTTTCTGGGGGGAAACCTGGCCTAATCAAAGGGAAAATGACCAAAATGTAAAATATACACATAAAACATAAATAATAGGAAAATGATTTATTTTCCTAAATAACTCTGATTCTTTTTCCTGACCTGCCCTTTTATTCTATTACCTTACTTGCTATTCTAAGGCATGTCAGGGTTTCAGAAGGGAAAATTGTATAAATGAAATGAAGCAAGATACAGTACACAAATAAAAAACTGTAAAATTTCACAAATATAATCTGCCATTTGCACACTGATATTTAAACAATCCATTGTCATGATCTCGAATTAAACTATTGGAATCCTCAGATAATTGGCATATGCTATTAAATATCCCTTGCAGAGATAATAGAGAGAAAGGGGTAAAATATAGTAGAAGACGTTTAAATTTGGTATAATGCTTCATGTTCCTTGTTACTGGAATAGGAAAAGCTCTTTAGCAAAACCTGAAGTGATCAAGTTACTAGCACCACCATTGCACACGGGTGTATGATGTAAGTTATGGAAACACATAAGGAACATAGATTCTGACCTGCGTATTGCCTCTTGCCTCCAAGGTCAATGACGCTATTCTCCTCTCCTTTATCAAGGAACTGGACTTCCTTCTCATGCAAAAGCTGCTCGATCTTGACTCGTTGCTGCTTGACCCTGGTCTCAAGCAGGTGCACCTGGGCTCTGAGCCGCGCCTGCTCGTGCAGGCAGTTCCCGAGAGCCTGCAGAGTAACGCGCATCTCGTTCTTAGGAAGAATAAACGCTCCGAACAAGCTGGATAAATTAACGATTCAAATTTGTCCCCAACTCCCGTTTCAGAATAATATTCTAACCAGAAAGTGGTTTGCAAGTTCTAACACTGTTTGTTATTTGGAGAATAAGAAATTATGGCTTACGGTAAAGTGCTTGAACTAAAAAATGATATAAAATAATCTGAATGACTACACCAAGAGTTGTAGAGTGGTTGTCTCATTTGATCCTTGTAACGATTCCACGAGGTAGGAAGGGAATCATCCTTGAGGAAACTTGCAATTTCTCAAGGAAACAGGAAATTCTCAGCGGGCAAGAGGAGTCAGGATTCATATCCAGTTCAAGGATCCTACTCTCAAACTCTGCATATCACCGCCTGAGTGCTTTCTTAACAGGAAATTGCTTTACAGCATCATTACATGTGACTAGTGTGTCAGTCTCTAAAATAAACAAGGCTTTTGAATGACATTTTTGTATTGATATGTTTTAAAAATATATTGAATGGTCATAACCTGATGACACATGGTCACCTTTCTAAGGGATGCTACTTTAGACCCTCAGATCCCTGAGTATCTTACCCATTTACCTGTTTCTGGAAATTCTACTGGAGTCACTTCACCTTTTGGCTTACTTATTGTTTTTCCCTTAATTACTTCAAAACAGGATGGAGAAGCCTGAGTCTTTCAGTTAAATTGTTTACTTTCTATAAAAAAGGCAAATAACCCAAGAATATTGCATGTGAAAGAGTTTATCAGCTTCCTTCTACAGTGGCATCTGACTGAGCGGATTTCTCCAGAGCTAAAGCAAATGTGGTGAGTTGGGAAGGGGAGTTGCAGAGGTGTGCCTCCTGGGAAGAGCTACTGAGACCAAGAAGCTGCAGTAAAGACCCTTAAGTACTCAACACTGGGAGAGTTACTAGGGGATAGTGAAGAGAAAGGACAAAAGACAAAGTTTTGCCTTTTTCCTGTTTTTACTTTGACAACTCTGTTTGCAGCTCATGTCATGATCTCCTGTGATAAGCATAAATGTTTGCTGAGAAATTATGAATTTTAACATGTAAGTGCCTTACACTACTTTTATATACATTATTTCCTAAAATAGGCATTTGAATACAGTCAGACATATTTCCCAATTTATAACTGCATAACTTCCTGTTTCTATCTTTATGTGCTACCTTGTATTCATTCCATAAATATGAGGGCATACTGTGTTCTGGGCACTTTGCTAGGCTGTCTGAACAGCATGCTCAGATATTCTGTTTGGGGCAAAAGAAAGAGGAAAATACATTGTCTTCCTGTGAAGGACTATAACGTAAACATAGAAATTCAGCCTCTAAACTGAAGGTCATATAGCAAGAGAATGGAGAAATGATAGTAGAGGACTCCTCCCTCCTGTCTCCAGGCCCAAGTCACTGAAGCTCTCCCAGCTGTTTCTCTAGGACTATTTCTTATTTTCAGGCTCTCTCTTCAACTCTCTTTGATTTATCCTCTCTGAACAAGTTATTTGCTTAGCCCCTGAGTTATACCTGTCTAAAAAATGAACAGCAAAGACATTTTATGGCATCTGGAATCCTGTGTTGCTTTCTAATAGTGGGAAATTGGTTGTGATATTGTTAAATATAGTGGACTATACAATTTAAAAATAACTAAAGGATTACAGGGCAAGGATGTTCAATTTTTATGTGACTACATATACAGTGTTAGTAAGCTTATTTAAAACTTAGGCGTTTTCTTTCTCCCAGAACTTTGAGTAAATGATTGTTTTTCCCTTTTTACTCATGAATGGAGAGAGGCACAAGTTCATTGCAATTACTTTCAAATAATCTGTTTAGTTTACACTGACAGTGTCCGATACTGGAAAGCTCAAGGTCAATTTCCAAGGACAGTTTTAAATTCTTAATATTATGCAACCACCCAAATAACCCCAGTAAATAAAAAAGATTTTACTTAGTATGAATACCGATTTTTACTTTAAAGGTTTTTTTTTTTTGCAGTACGCGGGCCTCTCACTGTTGTGGCCTCTCCCGTTGCGGAGCACAGGCTCCAGACGCGCAGGCCCAGCGGCCATGGCTCACGGACCCAGCCGCTCCGCGGCATGTGGGATCTTCCCGGACCGGGGCACGAACCTGTGTCCCCTGCATCGGCAGGCGGACTCTCAACCACTGCACCACCAGGGAAGCCCTAAAGGTTTTTTTTAAAGCACTTAATAAGTGCCTATTATGTGGCAGGTGCTTTTTCATTTTCCCGCTAGTTAAGTTTTTTCAGTGACAAGTTACTATAGACTTTCTGCAAAATAAAAGAAAATTCAGATCTAAGTGGGTATTTAAAACAATAGCTTTTGTAATGAGCTTACCCAGCTTTCCCTGCCCATTGCCAGAACAGTGGTGAGAAGGATGAAACTGATCATCTTCGTCATTTTTCCCATTGAAAGAACTGCAAGAACAAAAAGAATTTCATAAACTTAATTTATTGTGAATTTTTCATGAGGCCAATGCTGGCTTGACTCAATGTGATCCAGGAGGTCAGACACAGCTCCAGGCCGTGTCTAATCTGAGAGTCGCCATGGAAATTCTCCTGGACTTTCCCAGGCTTCTCCCCACAGAAGGATGCTCACTGTTACCTTGTATAGAATTGAACTAGTTCCACAGCAAAAACAAAGGAACTCTGGCTCTTGGGAATATGGAAAAGGCACAGGCTCTTTAAGCACAAAGAAGTGGTTTCATATTTTGGCTCAGCCAGTTCCTAGTTGTGTGACCCTAGGCAACTTACTATAAAATGCTCCTGATCTGTAAAATAGACATCATAATTCTCACCTTATAGGACCATGGTCATTTTGATGTAATATTTTCAAACACCCTAGCATATGATAAGCGCTAAATGAATAGTCACTCATTTTGTATATGGAAGGCTTTTTATTTTGACAAAAAGGAAGAAAGAAAAAGAGTTACAACAAATAGAAGGTGATATGCATTATTTTTCTGTGTCTTAATGTATAGGCAGCTACCAAGATAATATAAAACTTTAATCTCTCTTTAAAGTTGTAGAGGAAAATTAACTTTACCACTTCTTGAGATTATTTTTTAAATCAGTCTTGAATTTATGAATCTTGATGAAAAATTTTGTTCATCCTCAAAATAACTTCTGTATGCTGCCAGTGGTGAATTTTCATAAACTTTGGAAGCTAAGGAGCCTAGAAGGGCAGAAATACCTGCATAATCTTCAAACAAATTGATACCTATGGTTTTTGCTAAAAAAAGAACCAGAATCAACTGAATTATTTATTTGTCAGCCTATTTTTATTCTTATAAAATCTATGACCACTAGGTCCTTTTAATGTATCTCTTTCTCAATTTTTACATAATTTAAAAAGTGGTTCCTAAACGTTGCTGTCCGTTGGGATCACTTGGGGAGCTTTAAAAATATTTCCATGCCCAGAAATTGAATCAAATGTCTAAAGGTGGCAGTCAGGGCTTAGAATTTTTAAAAGACTCCCAGCTGATTCCAATGTACAGCAAAGTTTGAAAAGCAAGGAATTAGGGACTTAATAGACAACTATTTTTTCCAGTCTATGCTAACAAAATAGGTAGTTCTCAGTCCTTCTGGGGCCAAAAAAAAAAAAAAAAAAAGTTACAGAATGAGAGGGGCACTACTTAAATTCAGGGACAAATAGCATGCATGGGCATCTTGGGAAGCACTGCAAGATATAATGTGAATTTCTTAAATATGTGAAATTTGTGCAGTACAGAGAGTAATAAAGAGTCTCCTAGATAAAACCATATAATTTTACTTCACACAGCTTTACTTCTGGCTGATGTATTTTTTTATTACATACCTAGCACTGTCCTAGGCTATGCATTTTATAAGCATCTTATTTAATCCTCAAATAACTCTATAAGGCAACTATTATTATCCTCATCATACAAATGGATAGATCAGAGAGCTTAAGTCACTGAAGACCCAGCAATTGGGCTGAGGGCTTTCCACCTTGAAGGCCCGTGACCCCCAACCTGTATTCTGCATGGCCTTCCTTTCTATATACATATACACCTGTTATATATATATATATATATATATATATATATATATATATATGTAGGGACACAGGCTGCACAGAGGTATAGAGGTCCTGCTACTTGGCTTTCTCCAGTGAACACCACTCTCACTTCTAAACATGGCTGTGACTTATTTGTTCCTAAGTCATGTGCTTCTGCAAAGGAACATTAGGTCAACCTGGCAGGAGAGGACAGGTCTCCTGCCAGCTTGACAGGAGAGGAGACAGCTGCACTAAACAGAAGCAGTTCTAGAGAATCGTGGCATCAACAAGCATTTATTGATTATTGGCTATCTGCTCAGCACTGTGCCGCATGCTGTGGGAAAATAAAATATAGCTGCCACATCAAGGCAATGTTTTGGGGAAGAAATGAAAATAAATATTAAAAGGGAAATTAAAGACAACATAAATTTAATTACATATTGTTTCATGTATATTTCAATTTAATCTACATTAAACCATATGTAATTAAATATAAATTATTCCAAGTGACCTCTCAAGACAAAATTAATTACTTCCTCCACTGTGATCCCATACTCTGTTTACAAACCAATATAGCATTCATTCACTCAGTAAACACTGTTTGCACGCCTGCTATGCTCCAGGCACTGTGCCAGGTGATGGAATTATCACTTGATTTGTTTTTACATGTCTCTCTCCAACTGCTTCCTTTTGTCCATGCTATTTTGTTTAGAATAGGATTCTTGAAGGCAAAGGCCACACCTTGCTATAACTGTTGTATCCCTAGCATCTAACTTATTATGGCGACCCTAATAAAAGTTTAGTTATTGCCTCTGAAGAAGAATTTCCCCAAGAGGGAAAATCTTTCTCAGAGGGAAAAATATGAGTTCCTTGCCATAAAGCTAGTCTGTTTGCAGTGACATACTTCCCCTCCTATGCTTATCCTTGTCAAGGGGAAAACAATGGGCTAAGTATATTTTTGAAAATAAGTGTTAAGAAGGTGTTAGGGGGGCTTCCCTGGTGGTGCAGTGGTTGAGAATCTGCCTGCTAATGCAGGGGACACAGGTTCGAGCCCTGGTCTGGGAGGATCCCACATGCCGCAGAGCAACTAGGCCCGTGAGCCACAAATACTGAGCCTGCGCGTCTGGAGTCTGTGCTCCGCAACAAGAGAGGCCACGATAGTGAGAGGCCTGCGCACCACGATGAAGAGTGGCCCCCGCTTGCCACAACTAGAGAAAGCCCTCGCACAGAAACAAAGACCCAACACAGCAAAAATTAATTATTTAATTAATAAACTCCTACCCCCAACATCTTATTAAAAAAAAAAAAAGGAGTTAGGGACTTTGGGTTGGATTGAACACATACATTTTTTTCTTTCTCACAAAGCCCCACTAGAAAGGAGTAAAGAAAAATGGAAAAGACATGGATTGACAAGGTGGAAGAGAAAGGGAGAGGAGAAAACACCTGGCATACAACGTCAACCAGATGACAAAAAGCACATGGGGGAATTGGCAGAGCTGCTAAAACTGAATAGCAAGCAGTAGCAGCAGGGACTACCACAAGAAGCAAGCTAGGTTGCACTGCAGTATCCCAGATGGTGCTGGCTTCGAGGTGAACACTAGCTTGGAAGGCAGGGTGGAGGTGATGGGCTGATACTCAGCTTCTCACCTAAACCGTGAACAGCCAGGTGAATAATGTTTTTCCCACCCCATCAAAAAATGAAAGGCTTCTTCTTTTTTTTAAAATATTTTTTAAAAATTAATTTATTTTTGGCTGCATTGGGTCTTCATTGCTGCACGCGGGCTTTCTCTAGTTACAGCGAGCAGGGGCTACTCTTCGTTGTGGTGTGCGGGCTTCTCATTGAAGTGGCTTCTCTTGTTGCGGAGCAGGGGCTCTAGGCGCGCAGGCTTCAGTAGTTGTGGAGCATGAGCTCAGTAGTTGTGGCTCGTGGGCTCTAGAGCGCAGGTGGATTCTTAACCACTGTGCCACCAGGGAAGCCCTGAAAGGCTTATTTCTATTAAGGTCGAACCAAAGAGACTCCAGGTAGCATGACCACAGGCACAATGGAGGTCAAAAGAGAGACACTGTTCTATAAGTTTGAGCCCTCCCCAGGTTACTTCCATCCTGGCAGCTAGACAGACACGCAGGCAGCTCTAAACTCCTCCCATTATTTTCCAGGCCAGAGATTGTGTGATTCCTCTCTGGAGGAATGAATAGTGCCACAGAAAAGATCTTCAGAAGTTGACATTGGGAGATTCCACAACAAAAGAGCTATGTTCTTACCTGATCATTCTCCAAAGAAGCCCACCAGTTGGCAAGCTTCTTTTATGCACACAGGAAAGGTATAGGCACAATATTTTGCTTATTTCTTTTCTGTCTGAAGGGAGGCTTATTTTAAATTACATTCTGTGTCCAGATTTACTTAACAGTTTAAAGAGAAGCACTTAAAGACCAAACTTTCTATATGACAACACTGGGCAGAAATCCATATGATAGCAATTAATTTACCATGAAAGTATATAATTTACTTGTTATCATTTAACCCTTTTATCCAACATTGTAGCATATACCCAGAGAAAACCATAATTCAAAAAGACACATGCGCCCCAATGTTCATTGCAGCACTATTTACAATAGCCAGGTCATGGAAGAAACCTAAATGCCCATCGACAGACGAACGGATAAAGAAGATGTGGTATGTATATATAATGGAATATTACTCAGCCATAAAAATGTGAACGAAATTGGGTCATTTGTAGAGACGTGGATGAAGCTAGAGACTGTCTTACAGAGTGAAGTAAGTCAGAAAGAGAAAAACAAATGTCATATATTAACGCATGTACGTGGAATCTAGAAAAATGGTATACATGAACTGGTTTGTAGGGCCGAAATAAAGACACAGATGTAGAGAACAAACGTATGGACACCAAGGGCGGGAAAGTGGGGCAGGGAGGTGGGGGGTGGTGATGGTGTGATGAATTGGGAGATTGGGATTGACATGTATACACTAATATGTATATGATAGATAACTAATAAAAAAAAAGTTAAAAATATCCAACATTGTAAATAAAATAACCAAAATACACAGAAGGAAGTGAGGTGCTGAGTAGATTACACAGCTAAATGGACAAAGAAATTAGATAAAACACAAGAAGACATACAATTGTTCATTACAGAAAAGTTCCAAAAAGCATATATAGACCCATTTTTTTTCAGTAAGTCATCCTTTTATACATGCATATGATAAAGTTTGTAGCAACAGTTTAGGAAAATGGATATTTTACTCTGTTATCCTAGTAGCTAGTTTTCTTTAAATTCAAGCATGTATTGTGTACCTGCTTTATGCCAGGTGCTATGTATACTAGATGCCTATACATATAGCTTATTTTAAATATATTTAATTATATTAAAAGTATTAGCT